TGGGTCTGAGAAGGTCAGTGAAATCCCCTCAGGATTTATCCTGAGATCCTGTACCTCAGATTGTAGATCCTTTGTCAGTGTCAGCCATGTGGATGAATCACGGCCATTGTTTGGCCAGTGTGCTCTCTGTGAAAGCTAACAGCTTTTAATATTCTATTCTTGTGCTGAATTTTGAGGGTCTTGATTATTATATGTCCAAGTATAAATTTATTTTGGTTACAGCTAATTAGATTTCTATATGTCTCACTTCTCTGCATATCAGATTATTTTCCCACACTCAGGAAATTTTCTGCTATTATTTCTGCAAGTAGTTGTTTATGGCATTTGTGTTGCTCCTGCTTTTCATTGGCACTAGTTATTTTTATATTATTTTTCTTTGCATCATCTTGCAGGTGTTGAATTATTATTTCATGATCTTTTGTTATTTTCAGGAGATCTTTCTGATCATGATTGCTAGCCAAGATCCTACGTTCACAGTGTGAAAGTCTGCCTTCAATTTTGTTCATGGAGTTTGTCCCGCTTGCAGTGGAGTTTTTAATTTCCTGGATATCTTTTTGAATCCATTTCATGCATTCTTTCTTTTCCTATATTGATCATTCATGGTTTTGATCTTCTTCCTATCATTGTCTATTTTTAAATTCATCTCTACACTTGCTAAGCAATTTCATTTTAAATGTTGACCTTTCTTTTTTTACTTCACAGATTATTTCTGATCTTATTTCCTCCTTAGACTCATGGAATTATTTTCTTTACTTCAGTTGCCATCATTTCAGAATTATAAGGTATTTGTCTTTCCATTTTGTTTATGTTGTTGTCTCCTGGATTTGTTCTTGGTGATCTGGATATCTGAGGTTCCATTTTGCCTGTACTTCTTAACATTTTGTATTTCAAAGCATTTTTTCCTGTTTTCATCCTTGTAAGTTTTTTTAGTAGGTAGGTATGTCACTATTATCAAGGCCTTTCTAAGTATGATTTTTTTCCTCCAGGGATGTATTCCTTGTGTAGGAGTTTTTTGGTTTGTACCTGTCCCAGTATCCTACCTTTGCAATTAATTAAGAGTGAGATGTTGGTATATGTTTGGCTTAGTTCCCTGTCACTTGTTGCTGGTATGTGGTGATGTTATTGGCTCAGAATTTCCCAATATTGTTACAGAAGTGAGAACAACTGCTTAAAACAGGTATGACACTCTAGCTAAAGTAGTATCACTAGTAATAACAATGGCATCTAGCACAATTTAGATATTGACAAACTGTGGTAACTATTAATTTTGTCCCTTTAACCATAAGAGCAAAATCTTCAATTATATTACAGAATCATTCATAAATTGGGAGCTTCACGCAAAGTGTTTCCCTTTGGTAGAGCAGGTTTACCCTGTGGTGGGGAAATTTAAGAGAGATATGGATCAAACAAAGATAACCTCAAAAAGTTTGAAACCAGGATGGAGAACAAATGATCATACAAGCTTTGAGATATCAAAGAGGGCAGATGAAAAACAATGGAGGTGCCCACAATGGATTATATGAACTTGGTCTCTTGGTTTGGAGGATAGGATTAGTTTCCTGTGGCTGGATTTCTCCCCAGCCATTTAGAAAAGTGAGACAAAGATAAAAAAAAAAAGAAACAGAAAAGGGCAAGAATCAACTTCCTGCTTCTGTTCAGTGTGTCTTGTTCCAAAGCACCATGCTGGTTCACCTAACTTCCAATCCATTGGCTTGTTATGTTACTTTTGCTTCTGAGAAGCCCCTCCTGTCCATCCTGTGTGTCCTGGCTGGGGGGCTTACTGTGTGGCTGATGTTCCCACCAGTTTCTGTGTCTTCCCACACAATTCACCTGGATCTTGTAGGCCATGATAATAAAATGTATATATCAAGTAAGAGGGGGAATGGGAGAGAGTGAGAAGTTTTATGAGAGGAAGGAAAGAAAAAAAAAGAATAAGGATGTAAATGTAAACGTAAATAGGAAGTGAGAGCACATAAAGAGACATTGAATCCAATTAATAAACTAGCAAAATGATGATAAAACAAAGCAAAACACTATAGGAGCAAAACCAATAATTAACATTGATACACCATTACACATACCTATACACCCCACATACAAAAAAAGAGGTAAACTAGTAAATACATATACCATTGAACACCCTGTACCTGCCATATACAAAGAAAAATGTTTTTGCAAGCTAGGGCTGATATTCCTTCTTGTGGCAGTATTCATAATGGAGGCACTTCTTTGATCTCACCTGATAAAAAGGATATATGAAAATCATTTTTTAATTTTAGTCCAAAGATCACTGCTATCCAATTAAGAGAGGCCATTTAGAGAAGGAAAGATGTAGAACTCTACCTTTCTGTGATTGTTGATGAGGAATGGAATAGGTCCACCAATGGTCAAACCACCTCCTACCTAATGAGGTCAGACCACTTCAATATCTTCAGTATCTTTTTTTTTCTTTCTTTCCTCTCACAATGAGGGATCAGAAAATTCTTGCATTTTCTATATTCATGTTCTGAGTATGCATCAAAGCTCTATACACTTCCAGAATTCACATTTGCAGGTGTGGAAGGCCACTGTCTATGTATTAGTATATTTATTCTGAAAACCTCTGAATAGAGTGGGAGGTGGGCACATAGGATCTGTTTGTATTCAGGGCATGTTTTTGTTTGGGTATAAAATGTCCTCTAAAACTTTCTTGTTCAAAGATGGGACTTTGGAAGGTTATTGAACTCATGAATGTATTAGTCCATGGATGGATTCATAGTTAACTACATTCATCAAAAATGGGACCTGGTCACTAGGGGCATGACCTAGAAGGGTGTATTCTTATCCCCAGGTCCTTTCTGTGCCTTCCAGTCACTATGTTGTAAGCATTTTTCCTTAAAGGGGCACCTTCCACTAGCTCTTACTGTTTTGGAGCCAGTCATTCATGGACCAAATCCACTGTAACTGTAAGTCAACATAAACCTCTTCTTTTGTAATTCATAGGTGTTGAGTATTTTACCACTAATTCAGGGTGGCATAGTACACCCAGACTCAGAACCTCTCTCC